GCGCCACATTCTGTTGGGCCTCATGTAGTGGTGGACCTCATTGTCTTTTCCTATTAGTATTTAAAATTTTTTGGAAAGCTTGTTTGGTATTCAGGAATTTTCTCAGGTATTCTTTGCCATGAAAGTATCTTATTTTTTCTATGAATTCTGAAAGATAGTTTTGTAGGCTACATCAGTCTAAGTTGGAGGTTGTTTTCTTTTGGGGCTTGAACACTTTACTCTGGCCTCTCCTTGACTTGAGGGCTTGTTTTGAAAAGTATGCTGTGATTCTGGTTTTTTTTGTATGTGATTTGTTTCTTCTCTTTAACTGCTTTTATTATTTTGTTCTTCAGTTGGGTTTCTGTGATCTTGACTATTATACCTCTAGGTGTAGAATTTTTTTATCATGGCTAGTAGGAGTTCTTTATGCCTCCCTTATTTGTATGTCAAATTGTTTTCCTCTGTTTGGGAAGTTTTCTGCCATACTTCTGTGAAGAGATTTTTTTCTATGTCATTTGCACTTTCTCCTGCTTTTTCATTGACTCTAATCAGTCTTGTGTTATTCTTCTTTGCATCTTTTAGCAGTTGCTGGATCAATTTCTCATGGTCCTTTACTATTTTTAAGAAATCACTCTTTTCATGGTCACTAATTGCAATCCTGCCTTCCACATCTGATATTTTGTGTTCACATTGGCTCATTCTGCTGAGAATACTTTCAATGGAATTTTTAATTTCCTGGATATCTGTTTGAATTTGTTTCATGAATTCCATTTCTTTCCTATGCTGGTATTCATAGTTTTCATTTCTTTTCTATGCTGGGCATTCGTGGCTTCCATCATAGTCCTGAGCTCATCTATTTCTTAATTTGTTTCTGTTATAAAATCTCTAATCATGTCTTTCATTCTGCTCGCCATGCTTGTAGTTATCTGGGAAATGATTTCTGTTTTGATCTTTTTTCTGGAGCCTTGTTTATCTGTTTTGTTATTTCTTGTATTATCAGTTTAGGATGTCCAGGTAGTTATAACATTTTTCTACCTTATTGCCCCCATAATTTGCCTTTGGCGACCCGGAACTTTCTTTTTTTTTTTTTTTCCTTGTTTAGGTGTCTTCTCATATCTAATTTTTTGTTGTTGATGTTTTTGGTTTAATTCCTGGGCCAATACTTCTGTATTGCTTATTGTGAGTATCTTTATTGCTAGTGTTTAGAACTCTGAAGGAATGACTACTTCTCAGAGGTGTCTTCCAGGTATAGTTTGTGTTTAGCATTTGAGTTTCTACTGACTCTTAGGCAATCTCAGTTTCAGTATACCAGGAAGGATAACTGATTAGAACAATCATGATATCTGACAAAGTAATACAATCATCATCAATAATAGCATCAGGAACAACTTATAAAATGAGTACTTGTAGTAACTATTAATCTGTCACCTTTTAAGTACATGAATTACATCAAAATCAAGGACAAGGCCAAAATATGTTTTCAGTAAATAAGCAAATGTACCCTCCAGGATGAGGATTTAGGAAGAGTTAGTGGGTAGCAGAAAGGTAGAAGGAGAGGGAAATGTTAGAAGTGAGAGCAGAGAATACAGGAAGATCGAGCAAACTTTGGGAAACTGATGAAGACAGGAGGAAAAGACAGAAGAAAGAAAAAATACAAGGACAGAACAAACTAACAGCAACAATAAAATTAGAAACTGTATTCACTCTCCTATAAAAGTAAGAACAATTAACAAAAAAAATCCTAGATATGACAAGGACAGAAAGAAGAAAGTAGAGAATTGGAGAAGAGAGAAGAAAAGAAAAACATAGGGGCCTCCTTCAGGGTGTGCCTCTGCTGTCAAGGTAGACAGTGTGGGCAGCAGCAAGCAGGTTCAAGTCGATTCTTCTCAGCAAACTAGCTGTAGTCTACTGAGATTCAGGCTGGCTTCTGGTTGTAAGTTGAGCTCCCCGACCTCTGGCGGGTTTGAACCCTGCCAGGTTCTACTGAAGGTTTGAACCATCCTTTCCCTGAAGTAAGCCCAGGTTCTGGTGAAAGGTGCTAGACCCACCAGCTCATCAACTACTATAGTTCTGTACATCTTTATTATAGAGACTTTCTTCACTCTCTGAGTGGGATTCAATTTTTATCAAGGAGGCTCTGAGAGGCCCTCTTTCTGCTGTTCAACACTGCTCTATCTTCTGCAGCTTGTAACAATGGCCGATATGGTCCTAGCGTTCTGGGTCATCAGGGGCAGTCCTGAGCCTCCTCGCAGTTGTCCCAGGGTGGTAGGAGTGGTTATGAAGCCATTGTTTTTAAAGAAAGCAAAATGGAAACAAAATGTTACTAGAAACAAAAAGTAAAACTTTAACTCAACAAGTCAATAGTTGTATCATTCATCCAACAGAGAAAGTAATAGATAACTAAAATTTGAAGAAATTGTATAAAATGCATCAAAGCAACATAATGAGTAGGTAATGAAACATTTAAAAGCATGGAATATAGAATGAGAGGGCATAATAAATATCTAATGAAAGATTATTGTGGAATTTGTATTTAAAAACATAACAAATTCTAAATTAATTGTTGTTTGGTTAGTGAAAGAAAGTAAGAAAGTGATGGTGGCAAGCCCTGAACATATTCAAAAGTTAGAGGGTATTTAGAAATATATTCTTAAAACTTATAATTAAAATTATCTTTCTATGTATGAGAAAAAGCCAAATAATTCTGTAGAAACAAATCAATATATTTTTACAGCAAAAGTAGGGACTCAATTAATTCAAAATTATGATTGTAGAATTTATAAAATTGAAAGCAAAATACAAAGAAAGAGAAAGTAAATACAAAATGAAAAATATATTTTGAAGGTACAAAGACCTAATGCTACCTCATTTAAAAGATAATACTAAAAGACAATATGACAATGCAATGGTAGGATCAATCAGAAATAGAAATAAATGAATCAAATTCAGAATCAAGGATGCAACACTGTATTAGTCAAATTTTTCATTGCTTTTAAAAAATACCTACCACTTAAAATTTAAAGGAGGAGAGATTAATTTGGCTTATGATTTCAGAGGATTCAGTTCACAATTGGATATATCCGGGGCAGGAACTTCATGGAGGAAGAACATGGTGGAGCAAGGCTGCTGAGGTTGGGGTGGTCCCCTAGCAGAGCATGGGAGCAGCACCAGAGAGAAAGGGGTAAGGGACCAGATACAGTAGTCAAGTGTGACACCTGGATGGCCACGCAGACACACCATATATATGTGTGTGTGTGAGTGTGTGTGTATTATATATGTGTGTATTATATATAATATAATATTAAGATAATACATATAAACTACTCACATCAATCAGTCAATGAAGCCCCTGGACTGAGCAGCAGTCTAGATTGAGTATATCATGCTAATTGAGGCAACAAGAAAATTGGGAGGTGGCTGAATCTAGAATGTGTGATGCTGAGATGAGATTAAGGATGTAATGCTAGAATTAATTCATGGTGTGAGGCTAGTATTAAGGGTGTCCCACTTTGTGTGAGTGCTTCCCTCCCTAAGGGAGCCAGGCTGGAAAATAAGAAATACAAATAAGGCAGTCATTGCTGCTTGTCATTACTTTTTCATTACTTTGCTGCTTTCCTGCCTTCCTGCCTTCTGCCACCATGAACTGTTTCTCTTATGCAATGCCCTTCTGACATATTTCCCTACCTTGGAGCCAGCTGACTATGGACTGATATCTCTACAAATTGAGCTGAAATAAATCTTTCTCCTTTAACTTTTGGTTGTTTAGCATTTTGTCTTAACAATATGAAAAGTAACTAAGACACATACATACATACATACATACATACATACATGACACATTCTTGAGAAATAGGAATTTATGTATAATTTCAGACTTCTACAAAATCCCCCCAAAAAAGAAATTTAGAAACATGGAAATTTATAAACTAGCACAAATTATCAGCTAAACTGAGATGGAAATAGTAAAAATATGAAAAAATTAGGCATGAATCATGAATATAAATGTAAGAAAGTTCTTAAGTGCTCACACTGGCAAAATTCTTTCACGAAATTTATTTATTCAAAAGGATTTTTAAAAACCCAACCCAGTTATGTTTTTTTCTAAGAATGGACTAAAGAATAGTTATAAAGTTGATATAACGAGTAAACTTCTTTATCTATCTTTTTCTGAACTTCTCTTGGACAGTTGAGGAAATTTGATTAAATTATAAAGGAAATTAAAATGAGTAAACTTCTTTATCTTTTTCTGAACTTCTCTTGGACAGTTGAGGAAATTTGATTAAATTATAAAGGAAATTAAAGTAACTGATGGAAATTTTCAAGTTTAAAATTTCAAACATTTACATAGAAAAAATAATATTTTCCATGTATTCAAATTTATCTTTTGAGTTTTTTTAATAGTAATTTGTTGTTATCTTCTTACTGGCCTATCCTGGTTCAAGTTAGGATTCTTAATACATTTATGCAGCTTGTTTGTGTTACAGCTTTGTACCTGTTCGATTATTCTGTTTTCAACATAGTCCTTATGTAAACATTTATTTTGTATATTAACTGCATGAACCATTGTATTATTTGCTATAAATTTCATTTTTTTTGCTTTGTCATATAATTATGTCACTAATAAACAATAATCATTTTTGCCTTTTTTATTCCCATATTTGTAATTCCTACTTAATCACTTTACTTGCAGATGTTTTGAAAAGACACTAGCCATTTTTCTAATTTTGGAGCAGTTACTGAGTGCCTCTATGTAACGATCACGGTATCTACTGATCATGATAAGTGAGATTTATACTAAAACTATACTTAATTTATAAAACATTCTAATCCTTCTGGTGATGAAGGAAGGAAGCAGTACATGCCATAATGCAATATTGAAATAATCCATATTTTAGATTTAGCATGATTCACAGATAAGTAATTTCTGAAACCAAAATAGCTCGTATTCATTATCAAAGATTTTTCCTACAGTATTTGTTTCAAATTCTGATTTGCTTTTGTTTATATCATTATACATCTAGAACATGAGGCCTTTTCGAGAGATATTGTAGAGTTAAGATGGCATCTGGAAGATAGAAATCATCAGTTAGAACATTTGAAGAAACAAAAGGCAAAGATAGAAGAAGCAAATGCAAAGGTTCAAGCAGACATAGACTTTATGCAAAACCATGGTGCACTTCTGGACTCAAAGCGGAGGCAGGAAGTGGAAGCTCTGTGGGAGCGTTACCAAAAGAAATTCGAGGTGAATGAATACACGAATGGATGTGCACCTCACAAATTGTTATTCATTTACAAGTATTACAATCACGAGAAATCACATATCTTTAAAGATTTCATTTTACTCAAAATCAACTGACCATTTATTTCCCAGAGAATTTGTTAGACTATGTACATACAATCGATAGAATGAGTCTATTTTAACTGTATCTTTTTTACTTACCTTTAAACCTAAGGACGATTTATAATACTTAGTCAATCTAACTTAGTCTTCCAATAAAACGTTTGAAGATTCAGAACACCTGGATGTTTTTCAAAGTCCTAGGTGAACAGAGGGTAAATAGAATATATAAGTAATATCATTGTTGCTGAAAATATACAAATGCACCAGTCTTTTCAATGGTTAACATTTACCTTTTCTATTGGGGGTTAATAGACTAGAAAAATAATTTAGATATAACTATATAAAAAGAACAAGTTTAAATTTGCATTATATTTAATTTTGGTCATTTTAAAGTAAATAAAGCAAGTTATTCAATGTTTTCTGTGTTTACTTTTACATTTTCACTTTCCCCTTACCTTTGACAAAGACAACTATTATCAAAAATTTCACATTTCTAGCCGGGCGTGGTGGCGCACGCCTGTAATCCCAGCACTCAGGAGGCTGAGGCAGGAGGATCGCTGTGAGTTCGAGACCAGCCTCAGCTACATAGTGAGTTCCAGGTCAGTCTGAACTACATAGTTGAGACCCTGTTTCAACCCCCCCCAAAAAGTTTCTAGCCGGGCGTGGTGCCGCACGCCTGTAAATCCCAGCACTCAGGAGGCTGAGGCAGGAGGATCGCTGTGAGTTCGAGACAAGCCTCAGCTACATAGTGAGTTCCAGGTCAGTCTGAACTACATAGTTGAGACCCTGTCTCAACCCCCCCCAAAAAAAATTTCATGTTTCTAACAAAAATGAATAATTTTATTCCAAGCTACATAGTGAGTTCCAGGTCAGTCTGAACTACATAGTTGAGACCCTGTTTCAACCCCCCCCAAAAAAATTTCATGTTTCTAACAAAAATGAATAATTTTATTCCAAGATGTCTAGAAACAATGTATATTATTTTAAAAATTATACAGACAGTATCAAACACTGTGTCACTTTGTGCCACTTGTTTTATAATATATCTCGGTTTAAGGAAGTTACTATTGATAGCTATATTTATAATTTAGTTATGCTACTTGTTATGTTCCATCAAACATATATCTCACAAATTATTATTTACCATTTTCTCTCATTCGGATATCTTACTTCTTTCCAATATTGGACAACAAAACCACCATTTTGATTATAAACAGTGATCACCAATGAACACTTTCCCTTCTATGAGTGTGTGTGAATTTTTCTTAGCTATATTCTTAGCTATAGGATATTTACTGAGTCATAGGTTAAGCATAATTTCAATTTTATTAGAAAACACCAAATTACAGTAACAATTTGTGTTACTAGAGTAGTGGCAAAGGTGGAAGCTTCTCATTTTTCCACTGTGGATGATGAGGCCAGCTCTTTCTTAATAACTCATTTCTACATAGTGGGAAGGCAAAGCGGGAGGCTAAAGGTTATCAGTTTTCCTTTCCTTGTGTCTTTCTAAGGAGATGTAGGTGGGAATTATTAGATTGATTTCTAGGAAAGTTCTTTGAGATGAACCAATTGACTTTAAAGAAGGATTTTTTTTTAAGTTTTCTAGCAACCAGCATATGATTGCTACAGGTGTACTTTATATTGTATTGCAAGTTAGGATTGAAAGAGAAAGGCAACAGATTTGTATCCTTTCTATGAGAGAAAAGTAAACCGCAATCTTGTTTAAACAATGTACTTAGTTTATTTATGTTAACTCTAGACAAACCTATCCTGATATATCCCACAATTTTCATCAACATTGTAATTTTTATACTTTAAACATTTGTCCCCATAGGTTTAAAAGCACATCCAAATTTGCTGCTCCAGAGTGTTTTTCTCTGACATCAGACAATGGACTTGGGTATGCAAGCAGAGGAAAGCTTAGTTGACAGGCAGCTGGAAACTAAGCTTGGGAATGGGAAAATGCAATAAACTTTATTTAGACAGTCCAGAGAAGCAACAAACTTTATGTACAGCTTACCAAGGCCACTATGATGGTTGATTTTATATACCAACTTTGTGGGGCCACAGTTTCCAGAGAATTGTATGTGAAACCTTCAGGATGTTTCAGTGAAGATAAATGACAGAGGATAGGTAGGTAGATAGATAGATAGATAGATAGATAGATAGATAGATAGATAGATAACATTAACATTTAAATCAGTGGATTTAGAGTGAAGCTGATAATCCTTCATGATGTGAGTAGGCCTCATCCATATAGTCTAAGGTTTTAAAATAAAGACTTCTTTCCTTTAAGCAAAAAAGAATTCCATTAGCACACTATTTTTGTATTTGAACTGCAAATTTCCCATGGGTATCCAGCAAGTCATTCCACACTGTAGATTTTGGACTTGCACCTCTATAATCATATGAGAAATTCCCTCAAAATAAATTATCCTCCTTCTCTCTTGTTTTTGTTTCTTCAAAACCCCGACTGGTACAACCAATTTCAGAGTAATAGCTGCATTTCTAGCATTTCCACATCACTGTGCACTCATTGCATCTGAAATGGCTGGATCAGAGCTTCTATTTATCCAGCCTTAATTCAGCCTGCCACTTTCTCGCTATCCCAGACATCAGAGTGATTGAGACCCCCGCCTTCTTGAATTCTGTGGTGGGAGCCAGGAACCCTGATAAGAAATTATCTACTCTGGTGTATAATACAAGGGAAAGTAATTCCCATAATGCAATTGAGGTGCTATTAAGAAAGGTTATAAATATTGTGCAACCAAAATGCGAAAACTTGCAATAAGGTGGAGGAATAGTGATATTTTAGAAAAATAAAACATATTTTTTTGCTTAGAAAATGAGTAAAACTGACAAATCTCAAGAATAAAAAAACCTACTTACGCACACTAAGGTGACCAAATACCTCCTCAAAGAGACACAGTAATACTTTCAGGCTGTAGAAAAGTGTGACAGAATATTGTTCCAGATCACAGGGCTGAAACATGAGTCTGTGTGTACAAATCCCAACAAATTCAGAGTTTAGGTAGTTTTTTAAGCCTTTGCACCTCAGTTTCTTCACTTATAAAATGAATATAATAAAAGTATCATAAATAAAGTATGAATTAAAGGAAATTAAAAACAAAGCCTACCAACACTTGTGAGATGTAATGTTTATAGGGAAATTCTTAGCTGTAAACATTTGCATTTAAAGAAAAGATTTCCTATCAATAATTTAATTATTTACAGCATGAAATTAGACAATGAAGAGAATGTTAAACTCAAAAGGAGAGAGGGAGTGATAAAGATTAGAGCAGAGATAAAACTGAGGCCCAGCCTAAGAACTGGTTATTGCAGTGCATTGAGTCTACACCGTTAATGAGTGGCCTATCACACCCTGGGCCACTACTTACTTATCTTCTCCTCAGGAATAAGTCCCAAACAAGTGGGGACACCTATATGCTCAGAGCCTGCTCAAATTACTCAAATTAGCCACCTCCATCAAGCCTCTGGAATGCAGATAAGTCCAGTGGCATGCCTATAGACAAATCTTGCTATGAATCTGTACCATGGTAAAACTCACTATGTGGTTGCCCTGCCTGGCCACCATTTTTTTTCATTTAGATCTAGAAGAAACAATGACTTCCACCCTTTACATATCCCAGGGTCACTTTATGTACAACGATTCCAAAATATTCTTTTGAGACAGGAAAGGGGGATTAAAAAGTAATTTTTTCCCCCTGGTACCAGGGATTGAACTCAGGACCTTGCACTTGCAAGACAGGTATGGGGCCAAGAGCTAAATCCCCAGCCCCAAGACAGTAACTGTTTAGGGCTTAGAGTTTCTCTGTGGGGCAATGAAAAATACATGGGGATGAGACAAATACATGGTAAGAAAATGTAGAGAATGTGCTGAATGCCACTGAATAATGTACTTTACTATAGTTCATATGCTATGAATTTTACTTCAACAAAACTGAAGTAAATCCAAAAAGTATACATTTTAAAAGATCACCACCGCTATTGTAGTTAGATGTAAAGTGTCCCTGGTTGGAGCAGGCAGGTCCCTGGGGTGTGAGCTGGAAAGATGGTCCACCCTCTGCCTCTCGCTTTCTCTGCTTTGGGTGCCATAGCTTGAGCAGCTTTTCTCTACCCTACAGTTTCTGCCTCGGAGCCAGCAACCAATGAACTAAACTTAGAAGACACTGTGAGCCAAAAAAACCT